GTGCCTATACTACCATTGTATTTTGGAAACAGGAAGCTTGTCTGATTTCATAGGATTAGAACTGACAGGTAATTGCCTCAGAATGAAACATATCTTTGGGTCTCACTCATATCTAATTTAGAGGAGATTCTGCACTTCAGACTTTTGAGTTGATGCTGGAATAACTTATAACTTTTTGGACTATGGAATGATATGAATGTATTCTGCATGGGAAAAGGACATGAAGTTGGGAGGGGTGTTCCTGTGGACAGAATGCCATGATTGGAATGTGTTTCCTCTAAGAATTAACTTACAGCTAATGTGATGCTATGAAGAGTTGAGGACTTTGTGAGTTGTTTAAGTATGTGGCCTCTTTCCCTTTTGAATAAGATCAAGGCCCTTATAAAAGAGCTTTCATATAGCCTTTGATTCATTGTCCTTCTGCCTTCCACTACATGAGGATGCAGCTTTTCTTTCCTGAAAAAGGTCAGCAAAAAGGTATCCTGTTAGAAGAAGAAGAGTATTCCCCGGGCAATTATACCTAATGGCACCATGATTTTGAACTTTCTAGCCTCTGGAATCATAAGAGCATAAATTTTGTGTTTAAGAATTTCTATGGTCTTCTGTCATTGGAGCACAGATAGACTAAGATGATGTTTGCAGATCATGTGGATATTCACCCAAGTGTTATCTCAGCAGAGAAGGATTTTAATAATCAAGAAATAAAAAGGGTAGAATAAACATTCTGTGGAAACCAGAGGCTTCAAATGACCATGATGATAGTGATGGAGGTTATGCATGGGCTCAGCAACATGGACTTCCACTTACCAAAGCTGGCCTGCAAGTCCCTATTCAACCAGGTGGCATGTTGGTTATATTGGACTACTTTTTTAGAGCAGTGTTCTGTTTCTGGGGGATTAGATACTTACTCTGGATACAGAAATGCCTTCCCTATGCACAGTGCTTCAGTCAATCCATGCATTTTCAGAATTTCTTATTTGTTTTGGTTTTCTACACAGCCTTCCTTCTGAGCAAGAAAATAACTTCTAAGCCAATGAATTGGAGCAATCGGGCCATGTTCATGGAATTCACTGATTTTGCCATGTTACCTTGATCCCTACCATTCTGAAATAGCCAGGATAATAGAACCATGGAATGAATTTAAGATGCATTTACAGTACCAACTAAGTGCCAATACTTTTCAGGGTTAGAGAAAGATTCTCCAGTAGGCAGTACATAATCTGAATTAGCTTCCAATATATGGTGCTGTTTCTTTCATGGCAGGATTCATGAGCCTAGAAATAGAAATGATTGCAATGGCACTGGGACCATTCTCTACCGCTAGTGACCCACTAGCAAAGTTTCCTTCTTGTTCCTACACTCTTATACTCCGGTGACCTAACAGTCTTACTTCCAAAGAGGGACCCACTATGATTCCATTGAACTGGAAATTAAAACTTCCACCTGGACATTTTGGTCTTCTTATCTCTCTGAATCAATTGGCAAAGAAAGTAATGACTATGATGATTGAGGTGATCCTGACTACTAAGGAGAAATTGGACTACAAATCCATAATGGAGGTAGGAAAGACTATGTCCAGAATTAGAAGATTCCTAGGAGTCTTCTAATGGCTCGGTATTACCATGTTCTATGATTAGAGTCAATGGAAAGCTATAAAAACCCACCTTAGGCAGGACTACTGACCTAGAATCATCAGGAATAAGTGTTTAGGTCACCATACCAGGGAAAGAACTACCACTGCTAAAGTGTTTGCTATAGACAAAGGGAGTAGAAAATGAGTAGTTTAAGAAGGTCATAAATACAGACCTTGACCACATGACCAGTTACCAAAATTAAGATTGTAATTATCACAAAAAATTTCCTCATTTTTTGAAATCAGTGCATATGTGTGTGGGCACACACACAGCAAATACTTTGTTTTTTTCATATTCCTTTATCACATCATGTAAGATAATGTTCACATCATAGCATAGATAGTTTTTAAGCACTCTTCATTTTACAAGATAGTACTTCAGCTGCCAGACTTCAAAGAGAAGACTAAACATTCCTAAAAGACTTAATCTCCTCTTCTGTAGTAGGTCTTCACCAGTAAACAGATATATGCAAGATAGTTACATCATATTAGTCAGGTTATGACTTCTTTGTTTTATTTTAAAACATTTACTATGGTTTAAGTAGATGTATATGAGTGCCAAGTTGACAAAGGAGAGACTTCTGATGTATGTTTTTACACATCACTTTGACTTAGCCATGTAATGCCAGATATCTGATTAGACATTCTTTCTGGATGTGTCTTGAGCCTGTTTCCAGAAGAAAATCACCCTTGAATTGGTGGATTGAGTAAAGTAGATGGAAATCCCCAGTGTGGATGGGAGTCATCCAATTCACTGAGTCTATGAATGCAACGAAAAGGCAAATAAAGTTTCAATTCACTCCTCTCTTCTGGAATAACTGAGCTGGGACATTCTTCCTCTCTTCTTCTGCTCTTCGTTTTCCTAGTTCTCAGGTCCTCAGATTTAGGTATCGATCTATACCATCAAATCTATGGCTCTCAATTTTTTGCTTTCATGAGTGAAACTTCAAGATTCTAGATTGTAGGATTTTTCAGCGTCCATAATAGCATAAATCAATACTTGTATTGGTGTAAGACTAGACAAATCATTGACTATGAGACCTAATTTATGGTGTTTTATTAAGAAGGGAACAGAACTTTTCCAGTTCCTATTAGACATGAACAAGAGATAATTTAAAGACACTAGCAATGCTGCAGCCATCCTGCAAACCTGTGGGGCCTAACAATGAGCCAACAGTGAGGAACCAAATTCTAATAAATTGTGTGAGCTTTTGAATTATAAAATCAGTTTATTCATACACCAGTGCAACTCACTTGCTCCCACTCAAAATTATGTTTGTGAGATTCCTTAATGTTGTCTTGCTAACTGTATAGTTTCATTGTTTACTCTGATGGGGAAAGTATTTTCTTGGATAACTTGTAGTAAATTTACATGCTCTAGCATTTGGACCTTTAGACTATATCTATTTTTTTTTTATTAGAAATAATTTACTTGTCTCTTGTAAAGAGTACAGCGTACTTACAAGAGTACATGTCTCTTATAAGACTACATATATCTGTATATGGCAGATTATGCATCGTATTAATTGGAATATGAAAGTGTTTGGCTCTTCATCATATTTATGTTGAACTTTACTGGTAATTCCATCTTTCTTCATTAGTTAACTATACCATACACTCTACTCATCACATATGAGAATTCCTTTTGCTTCACTTTATGATAAATATTATATGATAGTATTTTACTAGTATATAATAAAATTTTTATTGCAGCTATGTATTTCTTTTTAAATATAATTACAGTAGAATCTGGAAAGTTGGCCACCTCTCTACTATGACCACCTCAAGTTGACTTAATTTTCACAGACTGGACATGCACCACATGCACATATCAGTATGGTAGGTCTAGTTCTTTATGTTGACCACCTCCATTTGTTGATCAGTTTATTAATAGTCCCTTGGGTGGTCAACTTACAGAGGTTCTACTGTATATATAGTTTCTTTTTTTGCAGTTTTAGCCAGGGCCAGGCTTGAACCCGCTACCCCCAGTACATGGAGCCGGCGCCTACTCCTTGAGCCACAGGCACTGCCCTATATAGTTGTTTTTTTTTTTTTGTTTTTTTTTTATGAAAGAAGAATATCTAGTTTAAAATGTGGGCTTTGCATAAGTGTGTACTTTACCTTTTTCTAACATGCAACTTATGTGACAAAACTTATTTACTAAAGGGAATAAATCTGTAAGAGAAGTGATATGAGATCACACTAATGGACTAGAAATTTTGTTGAATTTCAGGAAAGTATAAAGGACTTGTGATTGTACCGAAAAACAAACCAGAGAATAGGGATCTGTAGCCTAGACATGTACAAGAGAAGGCTGCAGAGGACATCTGAGTTTCTGAGAAGCTCCCACCTTCACCCTCCACATTCACCCAATCTAAAGTAGGACTTGACAGTTTACATACTCTGCCCCATGTATTTATGGCTTCACATCTACTTTCTCACTCAAGGAAAAGGCCAGTTAGGAAAACAGACCTTGAAAATGGCAGAAGAAAGAGACACTGGGTGCTTATAGTATCAATCTAGTCTTTGGGTCATAACAGTGAATAAATAAGCAAAACTCTAGATAATTGATAAGCAATCATTAATTACTAGACATACACATAGTAATGTAAATGAACAAACTAAATAAATATGCAATAGATATTAATTCTCTAGTGGGAAAGAATAAGGACAGCTGTATTATCATCCATTATTCACTTTCCTTGGGTGTGCTGGTTTCTCTCAAAGGAACTGTGAGAGATACCGAAAAATAGCAAATTGTGTGATCCAATCTGATGTACTGGACCTCCACAAATAAAGAATAATGGTATTTGTTTTAAGTGCATAAATTTCATAATCCTTAATTTATAAGGTTGAAAATCTTCTCTCTGATATTTAACAGTATCTCAGGAGCCAGTGTGATTTTCTTGATAACAGAATTCCTGGGATTCTTCTCTGCCCACCTAAATAGAAACCAGCAACCAAATGTAGGATATATGTGATGTGAGTATCCATCCTATAAACCTCTGTTCACTGTATAATTTATCTTACTTGAGTTATTTTCTGAGAAGCAAAAAAACTTTATCAATTTATGTATTTATAAAGTCACATGAAAGCATACAACCTATAAAATATTTTCATTGTTTCTGCTCTAAATATTCTAGAATTGGAGACATTTATGATTAAAATTTCATGTATGGTTTTGAATACAGATATTTTAAATTTATTAAATTCTAACATTTTAAGTTAGAATCTAGAATCTAGTTCTAAAAATCTAGAACAATTGCAATTGCAAAAGTATTTCAACATGTACAAAATTATACGAACATATAATCTATATAATTTTGTGACTATTTTACTAAAAAGAGGAGAGATATTAACACATGATCTAAACTTTTCCCCCTAATGCTTTTTTCAATGAGTCTAAGACTTGCTTGTTTCTCAGGCTATAGATAATGGGATTTAAAAAAGGAATTATAACAGTATAAAACAGAGAGTCTATCATATCTTGATTGCTAGCTTGTGGAGATGCAGGAAGCACATACATGAAGAGGAGAGGGCCATAGTATAAAGACACAGATAGGAGATGAGCCCCACAGGTGGAGAAGGCTTTCCTTATGCCTTTGAGAGACTTCTTTTTTAAGATTGTAAAGAGAACAAATGTATAAGAGATAAGAACTGTTCCAATAGTTAATGCTTGAATAGAACCTGCAAGAATAAAAACCAGTCGATAATTAATATAAGAGTCAGTACAAGAAATCTTCAACAGTGGCATAATGTCACAGTAAAAGTGATGTATTATGTTGGAATTACAGAAGGTTAATCTGAATAAAAAACCCACATGAATTATGGCATGAAGAAAGCCACATAAAAATGACAAGACTAAAAGCCGGATGCACAGCGCATTGTTCATAATCACTGGGTAGAGTAAAGGCTTGCATATGGCTACATAGCGATCATACGCCATTGTTGCTAGGAGAAAACATTCTGTGGTTACACTGACTACAAAGGAAAAAAATTGTATCATGCACTCGGAGAGAGATATCATCTGACTTTCAGTTAAGAAGATGACCAGCATGTTGGGAGTCACTGTAGATGATAACCAAGTGTCCACAAAGGCTAAATTCCCAAGGAATAAGTACATGGGGATGTGAAGGTGAGGGTCATTCCAGATGAGAGCAATCAGACCAAGGTTCCCTGTGATGGTGATGAGATACATCACCAAGAATGCCAGGAACAGGGGGATTTTCCACTCTGGTTGATGTGTAAGTCCCGTGAGAATGAACTGAGTCAGCAGTGTTACATTTTCCTTTTCCATGTCCTCACTTGGTGTCTTCTGAAATAAAATGCAGAAAATGTAAAAAATATATATTCACTACATAATTACAACAAGTGGAAATTGGGGGATGGAAGTTGGGAAAAAAACAAACTGTTAATCAGATTCTTTGCCTTTTAATTTTATGTATTACCACTAAACTGAAGGAAACTATATTTAGGAAATAAAAGAAGGCAACGAAAATACAATTACTTTCCTTTGAAAATGTACATAAGATTTAACAGAATTAGAAAAACTTGAGAGCTATTCTGAGCATTTACTAAATTTATGAGGACACAGTTAAATATGGTAATCCTATGTCTGGGACAGGGACTCAAGGTCAAGAGAAAGACCTACATTAATAAAGGAATTAAATGACATTTTAAAAATCTTGCACTTTAATTCTCCAGCAATAATCATGCACTGAAAACCTTTCAAATTGGGAATGGCATATTATGAAATACTCTTTTTTTTTTGAAATATTCTTTAAGTCAAATATTTGGTAGCATAGAAACCAGGCTGCAAGTAGCGGAAAATGGAGTCAGAAATACTAATCAAGATGCTGCTGCTAAAACAAACAAATAAACATATAGGCAGGGTGCAGTGGCTCACGCCTGTAATCCCAGCACTCTGGGAGGCTGAAGCGGGTGGATTGCCTGAGCTCATAGGTTCGAGACCAGCCTGAGCAAGAACGAGACCCCATCTGTAAAAATAGCTGGGCATTGTGGTGAGTGCCTATAGTCCCAGCTACTTGGGAGGCTGAGGCAAGAGAATTGCCTGAGCCCAAGAATTTGAAGTTTCTGTGGGCTATGACGCCACAGCACTGTACCGAGGGCTACTGAGTAAGACTCTGTCTCAAAAAAAAAAAAAAGATGCTGCTGCTATTTCCAGCAATTATATGCTTTAATATGCTGCAAAACATATTAAAGATCAGAATTGTATGAGGGAGTTTTTTGTGAGAAATACTGATTGCAAGTAACAGTGTAGAAATAGACATAGTGGTATCAGGATTGGACCTAGGAATCTTCATTTTGAAAATGTTTCCCAATTGATTCAACTGCATATGAAATGATTAGACCATGAATTATATGACATTGCAAGTGATGAGGAGAACAGAAAGATAGATTCAAGGAGCTCAAAATATAGAGTCATTAGGACTGGTGGCCTATTAGATGTGGAATGGATGGTTAGTGAAAGAGAGTTGAGTCACTTGGTTACTGGGTAGAAGTTCATCAAAACTGAGACTGAGAATTAGGTCTATTGGCAAAATATGGGAGTCCTCAGTGGGCCCCCACCTAATAGCTACAAGGTAGGGGAATATGGCACACTTTGGGAGTGAAGGACTCAAATAGAACTTGAACTTATCCTAACACCTTGAACAATGTAACCTAATCATATGTATACTTATATTAATCCAAAATTTAAAAAAAAAAGGAAAGTCCTCTGAATGTTTAGGTCATATGGACTTAATGCCGTAAGTGCATAAATCCATTAAATCTTTAAAAAAATGATGACATGATGACTTTTGAGTCATAGGAGTAGCTGATAGCATAATTATAGACAACCTATTGGACAGTGTTTAAAACAAAGGAAGAAGAACAAGATAAACCTTGAAGTTATATTAGAGAGGTGAAAAAAGTGGATAGAGTAGTCCCCCTTTGTTTTCCATGGTTTTATTTAGCCATGATCAACTGTACTCTAAAAATATTACATATAATAATATACAAGGTCAGACAATTTAGTTTGCAAATTCATCCTAAAGTGACTTCCTTGCTGAATGTCACTACAGTCACCTTTGAAGTACTCCCCTTGAGAAGCAATGTACCAACACCAGCACCTATTCCACCCTTGAAAGCAATTGTGGAGCTCCTTTTCTGAAATGGCCATCAGAGCTCTCATTGCATGAAGGTCTGACAGTTAAGTTCACCAGCTTGCCACTGTGTGCCTACATTGGCAGCACTGTAAAAACAACTTCATAAGGTTTCATAACCTTGGTACCTCGGTGTCACAGCTGTGTTCATGTCAACATGTAGCAGTGTCTTACTGAGCGACATTTACTATTGTGGTTGCATGTTTTTGTGTGCTGCACAATGACAGTTCTGATGGTCATTCCTGAAGAAGAGTTTCAAAATTGCTTTGACACTTTGAAGGGTGGACTAGGCACTGGATTCAGTGAATAGCTTCCCTGAGGGAGTACTTCAAAGGTCACCACAGTGATACTCAGCAATGAGGTGTGCAGCACGTTTTCTAGGATGAATTCTCTGCAATGAAGTGTGCAGCACTTTTTCTAGGACAAGTCATGAACTAATGGTCAGATCTCATATTTTAAGACAGAGAAGTTACGTTGACTATTATCAGTAATTGTTGTTAATATCTAACTCTGACCAACTTGTAAACTAAACTTATTCACAGGTAGTATGTATAGGAGAAAACATAGTCCAGAATATGTGGGGCTCAGTACTGTTCAACATTTCAGGCATTGAGCAGAGCATCTTGAAATGCATGTCCTACAAAAGGGGGAAATGACTCAATATGTCATTTATTAGAAAACAACACCCGATCCTCTTTTCTACCACATGATTCTTCATGATGAGCAGAGACCACCTTTTACTTTAGAAGCCAACAAAGCTATGAAGATATTTTCCCATCCTCCTTACACCTAGAGTAACGGACTTGATTTATGTTTGTCCTGTCAAATCTGCCCAAATTAATTTGGGGATATGGAAAGAAAGAGAGACAATTACAAGGGCAAAGAGAATTTTGGGGGTGGTGCCTGTAGGTCAATGGGTAGGGTCCCGGCCACATACTCTGATGCTGGCAGGTTTGAACCTAACCCAGGCCAGCTAAAATCAATAATGACAACTGTAACAAAATAATAGCTAGGCATTGTGGTGGGCACCTGTAGTCCCAGCTACTGGGGAGGCTGAGGCAAGAGAATCACTTGAGCCTAAGATTTTGAGATTGCTGCTGTGAGCTGTGACACAATAGCACTCTACCTACTGAAGGTAACATACTGAGATTCTGTCTCAAAGAAAAAAAAAGGAGAATTTTGATGCAAAAAATAGTGAAAGCAGCAGTATTAAGACTTTAGCAAATATACCTGCATCTACAACAATGACACTGACCTTGTCGGGAGTCTGTACATCAGCAGGAGTAAGAGCAGCACCCATTGAGCTAATGCTGGGACATGATTGTTGCTATTGACTTGCTGGTCTCCTTTCTTCTTCTACTATGCATTTTTCCAGTTGGTTCTTCAAACTATGGCAACTTTTCTGTGTGAGAGACAATATCCATTCAATAAACTACTTCCTTTTGTCTACCAAAGAAAGACTAGAGAGACACCAGAAAAGGATACCAAGCCAAGTGATCAGGGAAGCAGGAGGAATACTGAAAACCTGAGTGTGTGGAACTAAGGAGGGGACAGCTTTTCAAGGACAAAGTGAAGGACAGGGCCACATACCAAAATAAATGCTTTAGTAGAAGGAGGAGTGAACAGAGATCACTGAGTGTGGAAATTAGGGAATATTTAGAGACTTTCCTGGGAGCACTTTATATTTTGTGATAGAATTAAGGTTAGATATTAATGAAAATTAAATGAGTAACAAGTGGCACAAGAGCAAGTGAAATAAAATGGAGCACTCAAAGAAGTAAGAATAGTTGGCATTTGTCTGTCAGCATTTGTCGGCTGCCATAGATAAATGTAAAATTATTTTCTAAGGAATCTTTAATAAAAATTTTCAAAGTGAGAAAAGAAGAAGAGCTGGAGAGGAGAAGGGGAACAGTGAGGTGGAAAGGGAAACTTGGCTGGGTGAAAAGAGAATAAGAGGAAGAAGAAAAGTAGGTCAAGAAGGACAAACACATATATGGATCAGTGTAGAAAAGGCAAACTAAAGACACCGGAGAAGGCAAGCTCTGGAGAAAGGCAGAAGACTAAATAAAGGAGAAAGGTCATAGGCTTGAGATCAATGTTTGTTTCAACCCCAGACTTATTAAAAGATGTCAAGCTTGGGCTCTTTACTTTTTCTGTTGTTCAAAATTCAAATTTTATTTTCCTATGATGTTTTTACATGAAAGAAATATTTATTTTAAATTTTACTTTCCAAACTGTGTTTCCTGAAACATCTTTACGTATTTATTAATAAAAGTTGCTTCATCTTTGTTTATACAATGATTACACCTGACATTGTCTTGGAATCTTACTGATTTTACTACTTGAGAAAGTGATTTTGTCCACATTTTTTTTTTAATGTGAATAAAACAAAGACTGGAAAATAATACAGGTTATATAAATGGCAAAGCTAATAATTCCAATTATTAAATGTACTTTTATTTGATATGGTTTTTTTGATGTAATCCTAAAATATATTTCTATGATCAGTTTATTATTTTATAAGTTTCAGCATTTATGGTTTAATAAGTATCTACACATAAACTGATTATTAGAAATATATTTTCTGCATATTTCTTACTATGTACACATTATTAATATTTTTATTTATGATAACCAAATTACTTACTGTCAGGATGGGTGAAAGAATATAGGAGTGACTTACCTTGAAAGTTTTTTCAGAATATATATCTAATTCAACAGAATGAAGATTTATATTTCAGTTATCAGAAAGATGGCTTATATAAGAATCATTATGACAGAATTTCTAAATTAGTTTTTAATCATCTATTTTCAATTCACCAGAAATTGTCTTATAAATTCATTAAATTAAGTTAACAAGATAAAAAATATTAAAGAGGAAAAATCAGTCTTATAGCTATTTTGTTTATCCAGAATAAGTCATGATAATAAAATATACTGAAAATTTACTATTTGCTTTCCATTTCTCACCCATCTTTTCTGGCATCTTCAAATTCCAATCTAAAATCATTACCAATGTAAACTAAACATCATTTTAAAATATGTATATATATATACACACACACACATGCATATACATATATGACAGTGAATATTATAGAAATTGGATCTCTCTTACACATATCTTGAAAAAATTGTGGAGATCCTTAACAGTGTT